TTAATATAATATTAGAATTCATGAAGTTCAACGAGTATCTCGATTCGATTAAAACTCAAACGTACACGGATTTCAAGATTAATATTCTCAAATGAGCCACTATCTCGCAGTGATATGCTAAGGAATAAATTTCTTTCGAATAATGATAAAGTAACTAATTAAAATATAATGTTTTGAACTAATTCTCTTAAAGAAGTTGACATTTAATCCTTGTTTTGTCTCTATTTTTTTTTTTTTAAATTCATTTTCAACTATACATTTTATGTAATCTACAATTTTCATCAGCATTTCAACCACACATTCATTAACTTTTATCAAAATATACTAAAAATTTAATTTTTATCCCAATCAAATAGTGGCTTAGTAACATCAACATTTTGTTGACTCCAAAATATATACATCATTTGCATAATTTTATAAGGTCAAAAAATCTACTTTGAAGGAAAAAAATGTCAAAAATAATCATTGCAGCTAATAAGAAAAATATTAGCATCACAATCATGAAAAAATAGTCATGGGAGGCAACAATCATTGTGCTTGTTAATTAAGGTTTTGGATACAGTGTACTAACTCCTCACATGTAATTTTCAGGGGGAAAAATTGGTTTATTTGGTTCTCTATAGAAAATTATAATCTTATTATCATTTAAAATGAAAGTTGAAAATTGATCTTAATTGGAATTAATAATTATTATTTACTTAGTATTTATACATTTCGTGAGATCCACTACTCCTTTTCATTATAATTTTTTAAAATAAGCAATATGGAGAGAGAAACACATATTTAAAATGGATAGGACTCATAGTTCAATTGGAAAAGTCGGAATGAGTTTCATTATAGAACAAAACTTAAAAAATTAGAAGCGTCAAAATCACCTGCTAATTTTAAATTTTTATTTATTTTTGTGCTTTTTTTATTCTTAACCGTGGCCAGCTAAATTTTTGAAATGTTTATTTGATGTGTGTTGAGTCTATAAAATTGCAGCGTTGGTTATAGTCCGTTGTCTTTGTAACAATTTCGTCCCCAGTATTTAAAACAGAGCAATTTGATCTTCAACTATGCACAGAATTTTTCACACACAGAGACATGCACGCTATATATAAGTAAAATTCCAAAAAAAACTTTAATTTTATTTTTCTTTATTTTGTTTGTGATGATAAAAGTAGAGGCGTCAAAATTGGTTGATTGAACTACATGAATTACGAACAGTTCAATCTCACCATCTAAAAATATAGTTTGGAAGTAATCCAAAATGTCTTCAAAACTTGTGTAGGTCAGATCGATCATGAGCCAGTAATTATTGTGGTATAGTCGAGCCGGACTAGATCAACATGTCATTTTTAATTAATACTTTAAAAACAATTAAGTATGCTTAATGATTTATTTCCAATTGCATCATTAAACTATTGTCAAGTATAAATATGTGTTCTACAAGTAAAACTTATCAATATTAATAGAGTATATTTTTAAATAAATTGAGCTAACTTGCTAGTCTTATGGGTGTTGAGCGAAAATCTAACTTGACACCGCAACACCCGTGTGTGTGTGGGGGGGGGGGAGGAATAATGATAATGCCTTTCTAAATGCTATGCTATAAATTCATGTGTAATCATTTATGCTAAGTTAGGTTCACAGGTGAACTACTCCATTGAACTCCACCATAAAATGTGGTCCCTTTTACACTATTAATTAATTGTATATATCTCCAAATTCACAAATCAATTTAGAATTTAATTCGTTTTCTATAATTTCTACTCTATTGATAAGGGTGGCTTTTTACCTTCAAATCGTTCCAAATTTATTGCTGGGACTTGGTTATTAGCAAATAAATGTAGAACTTAACAACTCATGAATTAAGAATACTGACAACAAAAAAGTCTCTTCACAGGAATTAGGTGTTAATGAAATTTTGGGTAGAGACGGGTGATATTTTAATAGGTAAATCAACGTCCCAAATGGTGAAAGAATCGTTGTATGCCCTCGAAGATAGATTGTTACAAATAGCATTTACATCAAGAATTCAAGTATTATATATGTCATTAGTCCGATCCTTTATAGGAGTTACCCGTAATAATGAACTTGCAAAATGTTACGGCGCTGAAGTAGTCCATGCCATACTCTAAGGAAAAGCTCGAACAACCTTTAAATAAAAGGGAACATGGGGACTAGTTAAAGTAATGAGCCTTATAAGAATATTTACTAATGAAAATGATGATATGGCTTAAAAAATATGATAACTTTGTTTCATGTCGAGACTGCGAATATATAAATCCTCTAAAATATCATACAATACTTTAAATATGTGTCTTTCAAGAATTAATTTTAATCTTGGTGTAAAATTAATAATTTAAGAACTGTCTAAGTCACACTAGCATTCCAAGGTGAACAGTCCCATTATTTTTTTAGTGAAGTAGCTAGAGTACATAAATAAAAAATAAATAAAAAAATCGAAAGTTCAGTGACTTATTTCAAATAAAAAAATTTAATTTCGACGATCAAAATGAAATAGCACTATATATATTACAAGTAATAATGTTTTTAAACACAAATTGAATCTCTCTTAATGGCATTATGTATTTATAATTAGACTTTTTTATATTCTTATGTTCTTTTTTGTTGCAAGAACAAATTCAAGTGTAGGATTATCGTACTATACGCTAAACTCTATATTACATAACACCAATTTCCTTATATTTGGACTAAATAAATGTTTGACACCTTATATATATATATATATATATATATGGATTGAATCTTAAATATAAGTTGAGAATCAATGTTCCTATTCAAATGGTCCCAAGACTAGCAACTCTCAAATTAAATAATATACGTCATCTCTTCAATCATGATATTGAAATAAACTACCAACCACATGGCTAGAAATGTAAGTATAGGGAACATATATAGGTAAGAATTAATTTTATGCACCAACGAACCTAACTCACAAAATGAAAACGTGAGATTTGTTATTAGCATAGTGGGATCCCATAATATTCTTGAATCTGGCTATGAAATGAAAATATTGTAGATTAATTAATTTTATCAATATCACTTAAAATAGGAATTTGATATCTTGATCTTGTTACCGTAAAGGAGAGAGGTCTCTTTATTGATCTACTCGTGTATCGATTATGAGGACATAGATTTTGATATGATAGTAAAATTTCATAACTTATGAAAATTCTATTTTTATTTATTTATTTATTATAAAATTCATTGTCACGTTCCCTCCTTCGGATGGGGGTGGGTAACAAAGCCTTTTCTTTTCTTAAATTTTTTCCTTCCTTTTCATTATATTTCTCTCTCTTATTTTTAATTTTATTGTATTATTCAAAACCTCTCTTTCTAGGTTCTACTCATTATTTTAACCACTAAATGAGCAACTTCTACTTATGCAATAATAGTAGAGAGTCAATGACCAAGATACACTATTTTAAAGGTTGACAACCAATTTGCTCCAAAATTTCATATTTTAAAAACTAACGCTAGGGAAAAAGATAAAGTATATATAAATTAACAAATTTTTAAAATATCATTTGAAAAGAGTAGGCTATATTTGACAACATAGATTGAGTCGCTTTTTCTTATTTCTTTTTCACGATGTTAAAAAATCAAGACAAGTTCTTTGATACTTCTTTATTTTGTGAAATCTTATTCTTACATAGCAAAATAGCATTAAATACATGCAGATTTTCTCAAATCTACAAATATAAAGATAATTGAAGTTACGATTCCAAATCTTTTACTTTATGACAAATCTTATCCTAACCTTTCATTTATCGCATTTGCAATCCCAAATCTTTTAGTTTCGTACAATTAAAGGACAAATGGACGATTTTCATCCATATGCTGACGGTTGATCAATAAAGTTGATTTTAATCATATTTTGACCAATTTTAAAAAATAATAATAATAAATTTATATTTTAGTAAAATAATTAGAAAAAAATAGAGAGAAATCTATACCTCATACCTTCCAATACACCAAATAAAATGTTAAAGAGTAAAAGTTGCTTCAAAGTGAAATATTTGAAATCGCGAATGCAATTATCCTATCCTATGTGAATTCGTCAACACCAAACCAACTAAAATGATCCCCAAAATCCACAATATCCTGCGTTCTAATGCCCTACATTAATGGGGGCCTTCTTGTTTTAAATACTTCTATCTACTCAACAAACGCACAGAAGAAATCCCTTCTGCTACGGATTTGAACTATGAACTTCGAAACTTAAAATGGCCAAAAATAACAAATATAATTCTCTTGTTTGAAATCCAATTTTTTCAAAATGCATTTTTCTCTCTTCTTTAAATCACACATTCTTTATTAAAATATTATTATACATAAATCAAAAAAATTCCCTTATTTTTCAACCACACACTTCCAATCAAGTTGCTATTTTAAAATGCATTTTTACAAAAAAATACCTTTCAAACACCCCCAATTACGTGCTTGTTCGGTATGGATCTTGTTAATTGATTTTTTCACTGTTAGAGATAAAGTGGGTCCTACCTTGAGAGAAGAATTCAAAAATAACGTTTGAAATAATGAAATAATGGTAAAAAAATTGATGTTAATTGGATTAAAATTCAGACCAAACATGCTCTATTTAACACAAATAGATTTTTAATCTCACACAATCGGGCAAATGGTCAAATATTCGTAAAAGTCAATCCAGTGTTGTTGTTTTCGTGTCTGCCACTTTGATTTTATACGGTAGATTCACACTTGTTTGTTTGATTATCAAAAGAAAAAAAAAATTCTATTTTGTTAAAATTCGAATTTTAAATTTGCTGCGAAAAAGCAGCATTTTTTAATCTCACACAGTCGTGCAAATGGTCAAATATGCGTAAAAGTCAATCCAGTGTTGTAGTTTTCGTGCCACTTCGATTTTATACGGTAGATTCACACTTGTTTGTTTGATTATCAAAAGAAAAAAAAAATTCTATTTTGTTAATATTCGGATTTTATATTTGCTGTGAAAAAGCAGCATTTCTTAAAGCTACTTGTCATTATTACCGTTGATTTCGCTTAATGCATTGTGAACCTCATTATGGCGAACTGTTCCGCAATTGGCGCACAAAGAAAAGGTGGGCTTATTACTCATCAGTCTAATGTGGGCTGTGGAAAGATTTTTGTATAATTGCGTTACATATAAAAGCTCTATTTTCAATAAGCCTGAGAATATGGGTTGCTTTCTCTAAATTAATCTTGACCCACGTCAAATTTTAGTTATTTTCCTCTGGGTGGATCTTCAAAACCCATTATCTCAAGATTTTAGTGGTGGTGCCGGAGATGATGGTGGTGTGGTGAAACTTCGCTTTGTGCTAATGGGTTGCGTGACGTCCAAGCAAGCGGTGTCCGTAACGCCGGCTGCATTGGATAACTCCGGGGCGCTAACTGGAGGATCCGAATTGGGGTCAGGTCGGAGCCGGGTGGGTAGCGGTGGTGGGTTGGATTTCAACTTGAAGAAGTTGAAGAAGAGGTCGAATGAGTCTGGGAGCGATTTGGGCGAGTCCGGACCGGCGAGTTCGAACGGGTGTGGGAGTGAATCAGTGAGTTTTAGGCTGGGGAACTTGCACAGGTATGTTGAAGGAGAGCAGGTGGCAGCTGGGTGGCCGGCTTGGCTTAGTGCGGTGGCTGGTGAAGCCATTCAGGGATGGGTGCCAGCCAAAGCCGAGTCTTATGAGAAACTTGAAAAGGTTACTTGATACTATTTAATATTTATATGTTCAATAAGTATAATTATATATTTGATTATTGAAAATGTCGTACTTTGTACTAATTGATACTCATATAGTACTCGTGTCATGTCTTGAACTATATTTGAAAATTAATGGCTAATTGCATGAGCATATGGTGTGATAGTTCTAAGCATCCATTAATTAATTCATATAGCTATAGAGTTTGCTCCTTTTGTCCAATCAGAAAATTTGAAAAATACTGCTATGATTGACATTTTCAGTAAATTTCTTTCTAATGATTTATTATGAACTAATTTTGTAGCAATGTTTATAGCATCATTAAAATAAGTACTCACAAATTGAACATTCCGGTACTTTTCTCTATGATAAGAAGGATGATAAAAGTGAAGCAAAAGTATCTGGATGTCTGTATCTGCTGATTTTGATACTCCTATCATTAATGCAATTGTGTTAAGGTTATGAAGAATCAAAGCTTGAAGCAAGCAAAATGTTGGACGTATGTACTGATATTTTGTCCTAATTTGATCTTTGAAGCAAGTTAAAGCACTTCCTATATTTTGTATGTTTATGTAATGTTAGCTTATGTTTTCTGCATATATACATGTGTGTGTGTGTGTGTGATACAGTGTGCAGAAAAGTTTCTATGAACCATTCTCTTAAACCATTTTTGTTAAACCTCCTCAAATTTTCATTGTTATGAATTATGATTGGCATTTCAATTGATAAACAAGTAATTGTTAATTTGTTTCATCATTTAAACAGATTGGTCAGGGTACATACAGCTCTGTATTCCGAGCGCGTGACTTAGAAAGTGGGAAAATAGTTGCTTTGAAGAAGGTACGATTTGACAATTTTGAACCGGAAAGTGTTCGTTTCATGGCTCGAGAAATAATGATTCTTCGCCGGCTTGACCATCCAAATATTATAAAGTTGGAAGGATTAATTACCTCACGGTTATCATGCAGCATATATCTGGTGTTTGAGTACATGGAACATGATATCTCGGGGCTGTTATCTTGCCCAGACATCAAGTTCAGTGAAGCACAGGTTTGGATATTTATGTGAAAGGATATATTTTTCTTTTGGTGAGCACATTGGATTGGAAATCTAATTTTGATTGCAATGGTAATGAACACCTTAGATGGTTTAGATGATACCTGAGCTGAAAAAAATGAATATTTCATAATATTTGGAAGCATATTACACTTTAAAATAAATTTTTTTTCACAAGGAAAAGAAGAGAGGAATTTTGTGAACGCTTACAGAGTTCATGTGTGCATAACTAAGACAATTAACTGAAAATGCTAGCAGTTGTATTATTTTTTGTCGCTTCTTCTGGAGAATTAGTTAATTTTCGTTCATGTATGTACTAAGATCTGATTGACTCATTTACAGGTTAAATGCTACATGAAACAGTTATTGTCTGGTCTTGAGCATTGTCATTCTCGGGGTGTAATGCATCGGGATATTAAAGGTGCAAATCTTCTGGTAAATAATGAAGGAGTTTTGAAGGTGGCAGATTTTGGGTTAGCAAATTTCTGTAGTTACGGTCAGAAGCAACCTCTTACCAGTCGAGTAGTCACTTTATGGTATCGTCCTCCCGAGCTTTTGTTGGGCTCAACTGATTATGGAGCTTCTGTGGACCTCTGGAGTGTTGGATGTGTATTTGCTGAGCTTCTCATGGCTAGACCAATCCTTCAAGGAAGGACTGAGGTAATCACCCTCCCGAATCATGTTACAACCCTCAACTTTGCAGTGAAACACAGTGGATATGATAAGGAAATATTGCCAAAGTTTGAGCTGTAAGTTTGATATTGATGAAAAGTAGAATATGATAATAATGCCTAAATGCAATTTAACTAATGTTTGGCTCATGTTTGTAAACACTTAAGCCACTTTCTATCCACACATTTCGAGGGATCCACAAGTACTGCCTACTTATCCTTCACTCATTTCTCTCTAGTTATAATTTAATCCGTTTATAAACACTTCCCAAACATGCTCGTTTAAGTCTTATTTTATTTGTTTTTAAGCCTTATTTATTGAATAATATTAAATATGTTTATGAACATGATTTCGTTACTTGAAAACATTTTTGATATGGCTGATTGTGCTGCATTTGTATCTCAACCCTACCAACAAATTCATGTACTAAGAAAAATGAGGTGTTAATGGCTCCATACTGGTATCCGTACGGCCCTGTAGGGCCCTCTTACCGATTTAAGATCGAGTCTCTTGACTGCATCATCATAACCATGATAAGCTTGTATTAATCTTCCAACCACTGATCATAACACATAAGTGTGGCTACAACTATTGAAATGCTTGCAAGATCTATCTGATGATGGTGTACCTTTATTTAAATTTGGGGGATAAATTTCTTGGAGAAGTTTACCTCTAACATTGAGCTGCTCATTTTTTACGTCTCCTTTTGTGTTACCACATCTACCTTAACATTATCACCTTAACTATACACAATTTATATAAATGTAATTTATCTAAAATGAGAACACATTCTCATTTTCTAATCTCAATCTGGCATCTTGTGGTTTACGTAATTTTGTTAAACTTCTCCAAGAAATCTCCAAACTTCAACAGTCAACAGGGATACTCTATGAGTCTCAAAGCGACCTACTTTCATCCTTTTTAGAGCTTCCTTTACCTTCGTGGCCCTATTTCTGCAAAACAAGTCATCTCTGCTCTATATGAGGTGATAACTTCTTTGACCACAGTACTTGTACTTTCATATTTAACAATTTTTCGATTATCTCCCATCTCTCTCAAATGGCCTTGTCCTTACCAATACCTTTGAGGTCTTAATCCTAATGCGTTTGACATTCACGAGATCTCTAGTTTCTACTCTTTGACTTCAGCTAACTGGTAAACCTCATTTTCTTCTTCGTGTCAAACAATTGAGACCATTACTTCTTTTCATGTTTGCTTTTTGAGATCATTTTAGATTATTATTTTAGAACATATTTGATCGCATCTGTTATTAACATGAGGTTCACATTTATAATTGGACTATACAAGGTACCAATTTATGTTTCTGGAATATTATAAAATAAAATTTGCAGCGTCAATGTCTTGCAAAAATGTGTAAACTGCATTATATTCAATTTTGAAGGCTTGAAGAATGACTTGATTTTCTTTCCCTTATACAGGTTGAACAGTTGCACAAAATTTTCAAACTATGTGGATCCCCTCCAGATGATTATTGGAAGAAATCTAAACTTCCTCATGCAACTTTGTTTAAACCGCAACATCCTTATGAGAGCTTTCTTTGGCAGACTTTCAAGGATCTACCAAAAACAGCTGTTATACTGATAGAAACTCTCCTATCTGTGGAACCATACAAGCGGGGAACTGCATCCTCGGCCCTGGAATCTGAGGTATACATGCATAAATATTTCCAGTCCTTTTAAATGATTGTGATTAATGTTGCACCACTTATCTATGATGCATAAGCTTAACCAAGTTGAATCACTTTATATATATTTAAACTTATTTTACATATTTGAGACTTGGGAGATGTGTGTTTTCTTGCCTTTTTCCCTTCTGTAATTTGCAAAGGATATGGTAATAAATGCAGTATGCTTGTATTTTTTTTTTTTTTTTTTTCAATTATTTACTTCAGAAGGATCTTTAAATCTCATTTTCTTCATATGCAATCTTTAGTATTTCAAGACAAAGCCTTATGCTTGTGACCCATCAAGCTTGCCAAAGTACCCACCAAGTAAAGAAATCGATATTAAACATAGAGAAGATGCAAGCAGGTGGGATCCTTACATTTATTCTGTTGAATTATGTTTACCCCTTAAAATTAATTATAATTAACCTGTTCCTGGATTTTCAGGAAGAGGTCTGCTGGAAGATCCCGACCTGAAACAAGGAAACCCACCAGGAAACAGAATGGAATCAGTAAACTGGCACCAGAAGAGGTTGATATACAAGTATACTTATACACTTCCATTTGGGCTTATTTGCATATTACGGAGCCTTATAAATAAAGTTTTTATTTCTGCAGAACTTGCCTGTTAAAACTCGAGTCAACCCTAAAGTTAATGGCAATGCTGCAAGTATTCGCCATGGGGATAAAGTCTTAGGTCTGGACCTTCCAAAGCCATTGACAGACGGAACAGAAGAGGTGGCATCTCATGTAAAGAATGCATCTCAAGGTGATGATACATATATGGGTCCTTTACAAGTTTCAGGATCTAGTGGTTTTGCATGGGCAAGGAGACGGATGCATGATTCATCAGTAAGATCACGGAGTCGGTCTAGTTCTAGAAGTCTAATTTTTGAACCGTCAGGCATGTTGAGATCAAGAAATAACTTGGATTCACAAGTGGAAGAGAACAATGAAGCTGTAAGTGGACATTGTGCTGATTCAAAAGATCATGACTCTCGTCAAGCCTTCAAGCATTCAATGCTTAAACAGTGGAGTCAATTAGAACGTCCAGATTCCTTTGATACGTCTGACGGATACCAATCTCAGGAACTGTCACTGGCACTTTATCAGAAAGACGAATTGGCCCCCAAGAGAATCAGTTTGGTAATAATATTAACTCTTTTCAAGATTATCATTAATATTTATTTCTGAAAGCTGTATACATACTTAGATTATATAATTTCAATCAAGAAAATAAACTAAAAAGAAGGAAATTTAACTCATCCGGCTTCTGTCGGTTCTAAACTGCAATGCCAAAATTCTGGATGCTGAAATACATCTATAATCCTTTTGCACATTTCCGTGATTGAAGTAGCTCAGTAATTTATTGGGAGTAAATCATTTTTCCTTCTATATTTACTTGGATCATAGAACAATCTTGCTTTGATGTCAACTTCAATTTAACAGTAGCAAATAAAGGTAGATTTTTGCGAAGGTCGTTACGTGATAAATTTGTATAGCTTGATTGGATCTATCTTTGTCACAAAGTGAGTAGTATAGTAAGATTGTATCGAGGATTTATGTATATTTTTTGCTCCTTGAGGTTCTTATTTTCTTCACTCTTAAGAAAAGATATTAACCCTTGTGCATTATTCATTTCAACTTCTTTATTTGTTGTAAATGGGACTTTAAACAGGTTTATCAGAATCAGGCAGAGAAGGTTGAATTTTCAGGACCCTTGCTCTCTCAATCGCAAAGAATTGATGATCTCTTAGAGAAACACGAGCGTCACATCCGCCAGGCTGTTCGAAGGTCATGGTTCCAAAGAGGTAAGATATTTTTCTTCAAAAAGTCAGCTTTGCCACGAATTACTGTCTTAGATATAATATATTCTTTGCTTAATTTGACATTGATCTTATCCAAGTTGTTTGGCATAGTTCTATCAATTACCAATACGAAAATTTCTGTTCATGCTGAATAAAATCTGAAATACGCAGTCATCTGATGCATTCTATTTAAATACTATGCTAATGATAACTTGCTCGCACCATGGCCACCAACCTTTTTCTTCCATCACTTTCTACAGGTTATTAGTTCCCCTTCAAGCTGTGAATTTGAATATCGATATTTTTCCTTGTCCTTGCACTATAAAGGACGTATAAGTTACTTTTGATTTCCACTAACAATTTGAGCAGGAAACTGAGTGGAGTATTCTTTTATTTCCCAAATGGAGAAACCTATTGAGTGAAATTATGTAGAAATCCTCAATTTTTACTGCAATTCAAATTGTTTGTCCGATTTCTAATGACAAATTCTCGTTTATTGATACCATTATTTTGTTTTGCAGTCAAGAGAAATGAAAAGTAACTGGACGGAATACTATTCCAAACGATTCACGAGAGGATTTCTTGGCAATGGGGATTGAAATCAAGCCAACTCGATAGTTGACAGATTTGCTGATAGTCAAAGTTGCCTTTGGATGACAAGGATTGAATGAGGACTATGAGTATGACCAACAAAGGTTGAGGAACCAAACTGAAGTCAGTGAATCTGATATACATCAAACAAAGATGATCATAGGGCTGATAATTCTTTTCTTTTTGATAGCCATGAAAAGTACAATCATATTTCCCTATTACTTCCTTTATTAAGTACCCTGGACATCTTGTTGAATCATTCTCCTAATGTATAGGAAATATATGGGAGTTCCATAAATCTTCTGGTAATTGTTTCATGCTTGATTGTTGGAGCAATGACCTTAACTCTATTCACATTGCTAGGCTAAACCTTAGTTTGTGTCAAAGGGGAGTTCTATCCATTAAGGTGGTTACAATTGGTATTAGAGCTGACACCCTTCTTGGGATGAGCCTAGTTGCGAATGGGACGACATTGGGAAGGGCTACTTTCTGTAAAAGACTGATCTCGTGAAATCACTTTGTTTGTGGGTTTCTTACCCGTTGACATCCTCTCTTTATAACTCAGTTTTAAGGATGAATTTAATCCAATGTTATTGTTAAGGTTGGAAAAAAATGCTAAAATATCGACGCATGGACAATATTATTTTTGTTTTTTTCTTTTTCTTTTCCTATTATTGTTCTTATAATTATCCATTTCCAAAGAACATTTTAAGTATTTATATTCTAGAATTGATTTTTAACTATTCCTGGCTACTTGTGCTATTTGATAAGTAAGAAATAAATTATTTTTTGGGGGCTAAAATTAGTAATTAGTTAGAAATAGATTGAAAGGTTCATTTGACGAACTACTAGTTTATTAGTTTCGTTCCGTAGAGGAAACGCAGTATACTGTTGCACCGTAGACGATGGCTTTAGCTGAAAGGTGACACAATGGATTATGGAAAGCAACTTGAGGAATTTGACTACTCTCTTGTTGTGTTGTCAATCGGACCGAGTTAGCTACAATGAAATTTGGAATGGACTATACGGTTTAATCGAATTCGTGTCCTGCCTCTAACAAAATATTCAAATTTATAGAGAGCAAAATATTCATCGAAAAAAAGCAATAATCAGTATTGCCACGCATTTTAATCCTAATCGCTATATCCTCTCAAAAATAGGAGGCAATAATACTGTTTCTCGAGTTGTCAAAGAACATGCAATGTAGGATTAGACATCTCATGCCAAGGTCGTAACAGGATTTATATCAAGTCGGACATGGAATGGGTAGAAACTAGCTATAACGATCCTATGCACATAAGCTATTATTGTTTAATTTTATTATTATTATTTTTTTACTCACTCCTATTTTTATTTTTATTTTTATATGTGGGCCGTTCTACGTGGTCGTGTACGCCATAGTGCCAAGATCGCTGCCTTGGGCCAGAGTATCCCGGCCTACCTTGATACCACTACTTTGACGTGTCTACGTAGAAAATAGGGAAAATTGCAACAGAGGTTTCCTAATCTTTTTATTTTTTGCAGACTTTATTCTAACCTTTATTTTGCGCCAGCGGAGGTTCCTAACCTTTCATAAATATGCACTTGAGGTCCATCTGGATGGAAATCGTTCAAAACACCATCAGTGGATCGGAAAAATTAAGAAATCAATATTGAATAACACCGTCCAAAAAGGTATCAACATCCAATAAAACATCACAGTAGATAGTTTAAGGAATTTTCCTAGTCAATTGACGATGTTTTGGATGGTTTCAGTCCAGATGGATCTCACTTGCATATTTATGAAATGTTAGGGACCTTCGTTGGCACAAAATGAAGGTTAGGGTAAAGTCTGCAAAAAATGAAAAAGTTAGGGACCACTGCTGCAATTATCCCTAAAAAAATGACTCGGAGAGAAATAATATAACACGTTTCTTTTATTTATTTTATTTTTATTTTTTTGAATTCTTATTGAGTTTAATGTACCGAACATGACGATAAACATCTCCTTCGTACAGCTAATTCACTTGCATAATACGGTGAATTACAAAATCTACATCCTTTGTACAGAAGCAGCCTATCCCCGTTTGAAAAGGGGACTAGGGCCAATAAATATAGAAAATTGCTCAATTTTCTTGAATCAGCAATACAAAATCTCCTTTACCAACTTTATTGACAGAATTTGAGTGTAAAATGAATGGCATTGGAGAATCCTCTTTGATTTCTGAAAACAAATTCTCCTGATCAATCTGTAATTCTGTTCTGCAACTCTTGAAAAACATGCAACCAACGACGGTATCTAGGACGAGTAAGATCGCATATAAGTAAGCAATGAAAGTGCCCTCAAAAAACATGGATGAATTGGGAGAGACAGTATTGTTATAAGCTCTTACAACGCGGTATTGAAACAAAGCTTCGATGGAAGCCATAGCTATATTGAAAGGCAGGGCTAATGACAATGCTGTTGCAGTTCGACCTCGGATCAGAAGAAAGGCCTTGAGAATTGATGTAAATCCGCCGCGCTTCTCCACTCCTGACAACACGATTGCCAAGTTGCATAAGACGTACGCATTGGCAAGAATTACCGAGTAGATAACTATTCCGAGCGCTGAAAGAAATAGGAGGTGCCCCGAAGAAGAAAGGCCTAATAGATCGAAGAAATTGAATGCGACAAGTAGAAGAGAGAAACAAGTAGCATTTGCAGAAAGAATGAACAATAAGTTGCAAATTTGTGTGAGGTAAAGGGATTTGAATAGTTTGTTCCAAGAAGAAAAATGCCTATTTTCTTGATAGAAAAGGGCTTTTATTATCAATGCCTTAGCAAAGAGGAGAAAAGTGAGACTAAAGGGAAGTACAAGAAGAAATGTGACAGTGGTTTGAGAGAGTTTGAGGTTGAGAATGTTGAACAAGTCGGACGAGGGAGGGAACCCTGCTGCGAGGAAAAGGGTTCGTAGGCGGCCCTGGACTAATGCAAACAAGGGAGACGACGGCAAGGAAGCTTGACACACAAGAGTCGAAGCAGCAAAAGGAAAAGCCAAGATTGCTGCTGTTGATGTGAAAAACTGATAGTTTTGAAGAAAAGTAAAGATTGATCTTCTGATAATTTTGCCTGTTTTCTCCATTGGAAAAGAGGAGAAGTCTTCCATATGAAATGAAGGTGATCTCTCTAGTTTAAATGAATCTTGGGATGAAGATTTTAATGTATTTTTTTTTTTATTTTTTTTTTTTGTAGTTTGAAAGTGTTGTAACAGTTGATGTGTCAGATCAATTGGTATATTGGAAAAATGGTTTGGCCAACAACTAAAAACATCACCTAGATGTAGAGTTGCTTTCAATTTCACCATTATTTTGTCTGTTATTAGTTTAATTTAGTTAATAGGCTTGAAAGGAGCACCTTTCCAAGATGAAATCATCGATTATACTATTCACACGACGTGATTCAATGTGGTCGTGCCATGAGTGTACCGTAAATGGAGACATTATAGTTTCTCCAAATCGTCCTAAAAAAAATTTATTTATGCCATATTACCGATTTAATAGCTATCTTTGTAGAGCATTAGACTACTGCAGATTATGTTCCTTTGGTCTATAGAAAAGACGTATTGTCTACTTGGTAAATCGCCAAATATCTGCTTATCAGTGCGGCAATGTCTTCTATTAACACACATAAGTGTATATATTTTTATTAAAATATCTTTGTCTAAAAACTTAAAAAAAATCAATTTATGATTTATTTGTGGGTTTGTCTTGCTTTGTGTGTGTGTGTGTGTGTATACATATTTGCACGTGAATATAGGCCTTTTTAAGATATCTTGGAATGCACTCTTGGATCCAAAACACTATTAGTTTACTTTGAAATCATTAATGCTAGTTGTGTCCTTTAAGTGTAGGTTAAGAGCTCAACTAATTATTTCTTGTCTTTTCTTTTCATATTCAATTTTTCATAATCTGAGCCAAAAGAGTACAAAATTTCAAATGTAGTGAAATTCAGTTGCTGCCTAAATTGAGGCCAAATTTGTATCTTATTGGGTTATTTTCATTTCAAGACTCACATGTTGTGGAAGAATAGAAGACCTTTTTTTTTTTTTTTTTTTTTTTTTTTTTTTTTTTTTTTTTTTTTTTTTGTTTTGGAAAATGGAATTGTAATCAATCTATAATTTGGTGGAAGATAAACCCTTGAAGCGATATATTCTATTTTTCATTTTATTATTAGAAAAACAAAAAACACTAATGAGACCACAGTTGTATTCTTCCTTTTCTTGAATTAAATTCTTAGACTTGGTATGGACTAATTCTTATTTTAACTTCTAAAAATCATATAAAATAAATAGGAATGCCAATACAGTTTGAAAGTCTTACTCACAATAGAGAATTTTATACACAAAGGCATCAAATGACACTCATTATGCAAGTATTATATATATATATACAACATTGATGATGAGAAATTGCATGATGAGGCTGGTGTGCATGACTTTGATATTTAATCCTTGTGGTAGGTCACTTGTAGGGTCCAAAGCTGTGGTGAATCTCTTCTTCTCTCTCCTTGTTGTTTAAAAAGGTTGAACCCCAACCTTAAGAGCCCCCACCGACCCTACTCTGGGCCATCGTGGAGGAGGTAAATCGCAGGATGTGCCTCCCAGGAGCCAGGGTGGAAAGCACATGGATAGGTTAAGGCTGTTAACCCATATGGTAACTCCCGCTTGCAACAAAGCCAATTCCACCTTGCGGGGAATTGAACTCTGCACACTGCCGCGCTAAACTCTATCCGCCCTCCCCTTTGCCACTGGGAGATATGCCCTGGGGGCACTCTCCTTGTTGTTTAGATTGGTAGGAAGTAGGATGGAAGACATGAATCGAATGAAATGACAACATTTTGGGTAATGGGTTTTCTGTTTTTTTTGTACCTTTTTATTCATTTCGTGACGGTATGTGTAATTTTTTTTTGTAAGATATCTGTTATAAACATTTCAAATACACGATGATATGTAATTGAGATTTTGTTTTTAACTATTGTTAGCATGTGAGCGATAATAAAAGTATTCTTATTGAAATTATGAATTACTATGGCAATTTAGGAAAAGCGAAAGGCATCAAAGGAATTGATGGGAGCCTCAAAAGAAAAACTTACACTTCAATACTACAATGATTAGGAATCTCCAATAATAAAAAGATGGTGAGAATAAGATGCTTTAAATAGAAGTAAAAGAATAAAAATGATATTATTTAACGAACTTTAAGAAGTTCGACTTCTTATAGTTGTTTCTTATCTTGGAAGCCTAGGAATTTGAGGGAATAGATGACAGATTTTTTCACAAAGTAAGTTAATAACCCGCTTCTTTTTCATTCTAAACAACTAAAGAACTTTGTGTATTAACAAATCTTTTCATTCGTTGAAAGAAATAAAATTTACTTATTTAGCCCTCGTTTGGTAGCAATTTGTCTCCCCAAAAAATCAAATTTTTAACAGTTATTTCACTATTTCAACTATTATTTTTTACTTCTTCATTCACATGTGAGATCCACTTTTCGCTCTAAAGGTCAAAAAATCAATTCTAATAATCACTATCGAATAAGCCCTTAAATTTACATTTCAGTAAATCCTTTCACGTACAGATCAAGTTGATTTTTCCTAGTAGAAGTCTGAACCAAGTCTTAGGCCTCAATTATTTCTGTTTCATGTTCTTGAACTGAAATCTTGTAACACAACATGCAATTATTGATCTTACTTGAATTATATGCTTAGAATTATATTCTATAATTAACTTATCCTTTAACATGCTAGTGTAGATCAGCAATCATTTATTTAAAAATTTCACCATTAAACATGCTTAATATTTAATATGAATAAAAAGCTCTTTTATTCATGAAAGTCAAGAGTATCATTATTATGTTATTAGGTAATGCTATAAGATATATTTTTCTTTCTTTCTTTTTTTTTTTTTTAATTTTAATTTTAATTTTGCTCTTAATTGTATTATCATCATATAAAACCACCAATTTTGTATTATATGTGCAGTTGTCAATAATTATTAATTCTAAGTATAAAAATAATTTAATATTGGAAATAATCATAATAAAACTCCAAACTCTATTGGAGCATTGTGGTTTTTTTTTTTTTTTTTTTAAACAAAACAACTAATAAAATTTTGATAGATGTGGGTCCCCTTTTATTTCTGAGTGGCTAATTCTCCTTGGACAATGCCCAGGAGGTTGTCACCCAAGAATAACTCTTTCTGAGTTGTATTGTGGGAAAACTGGTAGGTATTGACTAATACCTAATAGGGTTTTTTTATATAAAAAAAAAAAAAAAAAAAAAAGAAAGAAAGAAAAAAAAAGAAAGAAAGAAAAAGGGAAAACAAGTACTAGAAATTTTCTAAAAGGTCCGAGGTAGAGACTCCGAGGTAGAGACCCTTTCCATGGAAAGCAAAAAGAATAAAGAAATTATTTCCTGTTTAGGAGGTAAAAATCATCACCCAAATCGAAAAAAAATATATATAAAATAAAAAATAAAAAAAACTTATTTCTAGATCAAGGAGTAGGTTAAACATGATGGAGGATTTCAATCCGGATGAAAAATGAAAAATGAAAAATTGAAAATAATTGGTGCAGTTATAAAGTTGTACGGAAAGATGTAAAAAGTGCCCCAAATCGTATATGGTTTCTTTTAAGTGCTATTCGTGTCATTTCTATATTGGAGTGTCATCAAGCCAACATCAATTGAAGTTCAAGATGACTCTATATTAAATATTGGGCTTCTCAAATGAAATTAAATTAGGCCCATCACAGTGCCTCCAATAAGAGGACTAGTGATTGCTGCCCCCACCTTTCCAGGGTTGTCAATTCGGACGGTCAATTTGGCCAATTTTGCCTTCTTTCTTCGATGTTGATAGCCCTTACGCGCATCACAAGTAGTGATGGCAAGTTGCCCCACCCCGCCCTGTTGAGGCCCCGCCTCGATGGGTTGATGGTGCCCCGAACCCGCCACGTGGAATTTAAAAAATATATATTTATATATATTAGTACAAAAGGGTTAAGAAAAAAATGAAAAATAGACAATTCTATCATTCTAATCTGGGAAAGGCAGACAACATGTGTGCGGAGTGCCCTAATCCTTTCAACATCTATTTCCTCTCGTTTAAGTCGTCTCTGCCTCTCACATTGTATCGATCGGAAGCCGACGAACTATCGAAGATTATCGTGCGCCGGCTAGTGAAGGATAAGCTATCACAGCAGACACAGCTCTCTAAGGATTCCAAAGTCACCGTTCTCTGGGAGTCTCTTTAAGGCTTCTGCGAAAACGCACGAATTTTTATCCATTTCATCTCCGTTACGTAAGCAAACTTATAATCATTTCCATTACATATTTTTTGATTTTTGATGAGTAATTATTTTGTTTTTAATCATTTCCATTACATATTTTTTGATTTTTGATGAGTAATTATTTTGTTTTTGTTTTTTTAATAAATTTTAGTAGGATTAACTAGAGCTATAGAATGCTTGGAATTAATTAATTTTTGGATTTAGTTTCTGGAAGTTATTTTTTCTCTGCAATAGATTTCCTATTGAAGATGGAGAATCTACACGTTTGATATATAGTTCTAATTCATTTCTTAATCAAATGCTTGATCTGCTAGCTCAATGCGGCTACAGACACTTGTGGGCTGGCTATTCTGAGATTGCATAGGCCACTAACAATTGGTGAAAACTGATAAAAATGTTATGTAAATAGATCAATATTGATTCTCGTAACTTTTAAAACTTTCTGTCTCTTCAATTGCTTATTATGCTGGTGGTTGATCTGGTGCTAATGTTCAAATGGTTGTAGGAGCTCTCAGAGTGTCCTTAGGTGCCTTGTGGAATATATGACAATCTGATCAATGTCAAGAAATTTTACTGCTTAGTTATTGTTCAATTATAGTGACATTTGCATGAAACTGCAGCTGATCCACATAATTTATCATGTACAACTTTGAATCTTTTCAAAGTTGGAAAGCTATCTTATTGGGGCGAGAGAGGATGGTTTTAAGTAGTAAAACATTCGTATTCTTTAAATTTTGATTGCCAGATTAGATTTCTTCTTTGTCGCGCATTAATCCTCATGGACCTTGTCATGGAAAGTTCTCTTTCACCTATTTAGTGTTACCTAATAAGTATTCTTTATTGTTTGACATTCAAGGAGATTAACAGTGAGATGCTAGCAAGAAAGGACAAGTTGAGCGGTCTTACGACCACTCATGACATT